CATTGTACTCAGTTACTCTTGTCGTTGAGCACTGGTTGTCGTTGCACTGCACTGGTTTATCTTCTGCCTCACCATCCTCCTCTCCCTCCTCTCCATGCTCTATCAGCTTCCATGTATCCATTGAGATCCATTCCCCATCTTCTTTCTTCTTCATTCCTAATACGCTTGTGCAGGTTTCTTTCCACATAGCTTCCAAAGACTTCCAGTGTTCTTCCACACAGGTTTCTTCACGGATCTTCCTCGATATCTCCCATTTTGTCTGGGTGACTGGCTGCCGTGAAGATTCCCTTTGTAGTTTTGTCCTTCAGTTTCTGAGTGTTCAACTTCAGCTGTGGTCGTCTATCACCAACTTCTGTGAAGGCTTTCAACACGATTTCGAAGGTTCCTTGTACTAGATAGTCAGTGATGTAAACCTACATTTGCTCCTCTTCTTCACCTTGTGTCAAATAGGGTGGCCGCATCTCCACTTTCTTCACATTCAGGTAAAGTCGATCTGATTTTCAGTGCAGTGTGTCCAGGTGTCTGGTGAAATCCATGTCGCACGCTTTCTGGATATCCTTGTGCACACTTGAACACACTGCCTCACTACAATCACCAAATTGTTGAATGCGCAGAAGTCTGCAAACTTCTCCATTCTCGTTCATCACCTCACCAAGTGCTTCTCCACCCATGGTTAGTTCTCTTCCTGTGTTGTCTGCTCCCAGTTTCGCATTCATGTCAACCCACCCATCAGAATTTTGATATCGCCCACTCGGATAGAGTCTTGTCCAGTGTTGATTGCAGTTGTCTGTACAATTCCTCCTCCTTCTCTTGCTCTGCATTATTTCTAGGTGCATAGTGTAGCATTGTATGATTGTGACCTTCCTTCCTTCCTTTTCAGTTGAACCCTGCTGTCATGATCGTGATCCTGCAGGAGGAGATTGGTTCCCACTGTATGGTATGAGAGCCTTCGATGCTGTAGAAAGGGACATCATGATAGCCACTTCAAAACTGAGTGTACTCGTGGTTGTCGTCTGGGTGACAATATCGGAGTAGATTATTGATTCTCCAGTTGACAGTTTGAAGAGTCCGCTTCCATCCCACCTGCTTTCGCGAATTCTTAACACTTCAATGTGATACCTTCTCATCTCGTTTTTAATCTGGGCTGCCTTGCCAGTTAGGTTGAAAAGTGGTGCGGACATTCCATGTCCTCATTCTTAGTTTCGCTTTCATTGAGAGAAGACACATCGGCGAATTGGCTTCCCAAAGGCTTTCACAAACTGGCGTCATTTCGCCTCTACGATTTCAAGGAGGTATATTTTTGCTTGTGTTGTGAAGTTTCTTTAGGTTTTGATGTGTTTTGCGGATTAGGTTTGCTAGGTCTATGCCGAAGCTTTCCTCTTTTCCTGTGCTTGTGACCGCCTATTAACTGGTGAACTAATTAAGGGGCCTAGGTTATTTTCTGTGTATTGAAATTAAATTTTCGTAGAATGATATGATTCCATGTTTTCTGTCCGAGGTGTATTGACTATAGATGAAATGTTTTTCTGTGTTATTGGTCTTTCTTTCCATTAGGTTGACTTTTTTCTCCGCTCTTGTCCCTATTCAATCTAAGTCCTAACGATTGTTGTTAGTTGACCCATATAACTGGCACATTAGTAAAAATGAGATCTTTGATACACTATATATTTCGTACTGAACGGTGCCTTTAGCTGATTTAATGGTTTTCTTCGCATGAGATTTGTTTCTCGAAACGTACGTAGTCACTCCTGGTGGATTTTTCGAATATGGTAATAACCTATTTATTAACCGTCCTTGAGCCATTACCGAAGGACCTTGAAATAGCCAATGAATTTTAAGGTAACAGTGAGGTCATTCTGGGAAGCTACCAATTATTTGAAAGATGTCAGCGTTTATAGATAAGCTTACGTAGAATTTTGATGATTATTTTGATTGAAACCAGGGCAACTATTTGTCATTTAATCATCTTGCGTTGTTTACTAATTTCGAAGTGTTTTATTTTTAATTTGTCCGCATTTTGTGTTAACAACAAAATTATAGACAAAAAGTACACACTACGTAGCGTTTTACTATTAGGTTGAACACCCTAAAACTAGATCAAAACCTTTATTTTTACTTCCGAAACCTTATCATACAGTTTTAACTACCATCAGAGTATCCACAATAAGCAGAAGTTTTTTTTTTCAATGATGGGGATGACCTTCCACGTGATTAGTCTGGAAGATTCTTGCCTAGTCTGAAATGCTCAATTCATCCACACAATGAGTCATACAAATTGGCCCTCGCAACTGTGCACAACAGAACATTAAAACTCCTGGTTATTTTTCGTTTATTTTAGACGATCTCTCTCATTCGTTTGTACATATAACTAAACTACCTGACCATAATGCACTATAACTTAAGTAGGTGAAATAACCAATTTCAAGAAGAATCTATAGAATAATGTACACTGATGGATTTCATTCAACATATTTCTGAAATATAAGTCAAATGTAAATGCATGAGGGATCAATCGAAGGCTCTTGAACCGAGCAATATAATTAAGTCATAATTAGAATGACTTTTCAAATGAATAAACTAATATAACCAATGATGCTTATCTGAGGTTCACGTTCTTCACTTTTCAAGTGATATAATAACTTGATTTTCAAGTTTTTTTACGTTAAAATTAAACTAATGTTCAGTATCATGAACCTAATTTCTTCTCCGAATTCTCATACTTTAATCCTTGAACCGTATATACGAATCAACACAAGTAATTTAGAGGTAATAAGGGATCAGGTGAAAAGCTTATCTATGTCTGTGTTACAATTCTGGTAGTCTTATTTTGATATAGTGTGCAGAAAGATTGTGAAACTCTTCACCAGTAGCAATATATGCTTAAAGCCTTTTTCAACCAATCGTTTTGCTCCAAAGTTTCGAGAAAAAACACGGGAGCTGAAGTGTTAGTACCAGGTTAGTTGAAGAGATGAAAAATCAATAGAATTTATATGTAGTAGGCCTGGAAATAGCCTAGGCCATATGTAAACCTTGTAGTTTGTTTATATTGTGCATGTTGACGTCGTTAGTACACCTTCTATTCTCTTACCGCTTTTTCTGTTTACGGAAACACTGAATGACCAGCAAGGGGTGGAATCTGTAGACCCTATCAAGTCACTGGTGAAGATATATAAAAATGGAGATGGATAAAAATATGACAATATTTTCTAATGAAGGATTTCAAGCTTTTTTTACAACGCTATAATGGCGGAATGGAAGAGGGATCACTGAAGATTATTAAGAAATCCAAGCAAATGCTGGATGATATTCAGATAGAATCTACATCCATAAGTCCTCAGACTTTAAAAAAAGCTTCTCGTAAATGCCTCAGTGATTAACACAGTGAAGTGGAAAATGAGTCCAAGAAACGTGGTAGTATGAATCACGTTACGTTGATGGATGAGAACGATATGAACTCCTTACTACCCACCACGAAATAGTAAATGATGCAGACATTCAGTCAGATCATGTTGATGAAACCTATGAAGTACTTGTCGACAGTTTGCAAATTGATTTGACATGATTAGTGTCATCCAGCCTCCTTACAGCCATACCTCACAATGAATATCCACATGAAGTTCTCAAGGAGTACTAGTGCCAGCCAAAACATCAGCGTCAACAACTACACAGATACTCAAGGTGGTTCAATACCCCCCCATACACATCAATTGACACACTTGCTTCTCATGGTAGTGGATTACTTTATCAAACACAGTTTATGTCCATACGAGAAAATGGACACCAGGACTGTATACGAACCAGCTCCACTTGAAATATCACATCCACTAACCAACAGGCAAATGAAAAATCCTCGAATCCACCCAAATTCACAGGTCGCTCACAGGTGCATTAGGAAGTCACAAGCAAGTCATTGGGGTAGTATACTGTGGTGCTGACTGTGACGATTTACCGCATAACGGAGTACCTTATCATTCTGACTAACTATACACCTAGATTACTTGGGCTCTAACTGGAAATGAGATCTCAGGCTGTCATCTGAAAAACCGAGGCTTGCTGGTAAAGAAAACTAAAATGGTGTGACGGCGCTGCCTGCTCCAGAGAGCGTAAATGAATTCGGTTCATTGAGGCTGGAGAACTTGTGTAAGCATTTAACTATTAAAAATGCTATGGCAACGATTAAGTGCATATGACTGGTAGGCGTGACTTTGAGACAGTTTTGCAAAATCAGGGTCGTGCAATATTGAAATTCCACGTCTGAAACTTTAGGAGATGTTTTTGAAAATACTTCTCAGTTTACCTTTTGTAAGCGGGGAGGAGAAGGTTTATCAAATACCCTTGTTTTATGTGTCACAAAATCATTCCTTTCATTTCTAGCTCTAATTCAGTTATTTCAGACTACACAACACAGATTCAGCAGAAGAGTATTAAGGAATAATTTGTCAGGATCCAGTGAAAGGTGACTAGTCAATCAGAAGACATGATTGTACTACCGATCTTTGTTACAAGGGAGTGGGATGAGGTTATAGTATGCAGAGAGATTGAGAAACTCTTCACAAGAAGCAGTATATGCCTAAAGCCTTTTTCAATCGATCCCTCTGCCTCGATGTCTCGAGAAAGAGTACATGAGCTGATGTGTAAGTATCAGGTTGGTTGAAAAGATGTAAAATCAGTGGAATTTAAATCTAGTAGGCATAGAAATACTTTAGACCATGGTAATATATATAAACCTTGTAAATTGTTTATACTGCCCACGTTGCCGTTGACGTTGTAAGTACATCTTCTATTATTTTACCGCTTTTCCTGTTTACGGAGACACTGAGTTACCAGTACGGGGTGGAATCTGAAGATTCTATCAAGTCACTAGTAAAGATATGTATTATTTCATGCTGTCATATAGATGAGTCTCTTTATTGTATGTATTTTCTTTGTTTAAGCAGTTAGAAGCTTTCGGAAGCACGGCTAAGTTCTTAAACATCCTGTGCACTGTAACTTCCTTTCAGATCAACATTAAAAACTAGCAAGAAACAGGCACTTTCTTATTGGTGCCTTCAAGGTCACATGATGGTCGCTCAAGGACGACAAAGCGCTATAATTCCACTTAGAATCCTACCTACTTCTACTGATAATTTCTGTTTTCTTTTCTTCAGGATACTAGCTTTCCTTTATCCTACAATCCACAATAACTTAATTGATATGATCTACTTAACAATATAATTATTAAGTCCTCATTTTCGTATACCAGTTTTGTATGTTATTTAGGAAGATTGTTCATTTTGATCTGTTATCTTTGCATAGTAAGTAGAGGCAATAAAAGATATGATAAAAGAGGGAAGAAAAACTTCTAAAAGAAAAGTATTCTTATCTTAGGAATACCTTTATTCATTCTGTTAATTAATTTTATACTTATGGAAAATAGAGTTAATATAACAATACAAAAAAAGAAGATTACACTTATTCCTGTTTTGATTTCAGTTGAAAATTGATCATTGAATTCCATTTCGTTAAAGAGTGTGGTAAAACAAATACTAGTGGACAAATCAAACTAAAGAATGTAAATAAATATACAGAAATGTTGAGTGAATCATGAAATTTTCTAAATGGTCACGTTTACTGTTTGTTCGTTGTCTGAATCTTCCAAATTTAATGTTGTCCGACTTGAGTTTATGCTTTTGTGAAAATGTAAATTTCCTTAGTATCGAGCATATACTTTTTAGCACTATATAATCCTTGCACTTGGACTGGCTCCGTCCAACATAGGACCAGGCATTACTGCGTAATGGTCTGAGTTGCCACACTTCATATCAGTACATCAAGTAAAAAGCATTGAACTGGAAGATGAAAATAAGAAAATTCAGTCAAAAGAAATGTAAAGTACTGAGAGAGAGAGAAATGAAGAATGAGAAAATGGTGAGATTCGATATAGCGACAAAATGAGGATAATGTGTGTGGGGATACATCTGTCCCACTGACATCGGTTCTCACCCATATCACCTAGAATCTCCAACCACTGGTTTCTCTTGTCCCACCGACCCCAACCACCTAGTCTGCATCGCCCTACATGGCTCAAACCAACAGTCAACCAGTCATACACTGGTGCCATGTTTTAGTCTGGCCACCTCGGGCCTTTTCCAGCCCGAATCTACTTCGGCCAACATTGTGTAACGAGGCAGACAGCGACTAAATATACATAACACGTGTCCCAATCATCTCCTTCGATGAAGGTTCACAACTGTGTCAACTGACTTACCTATTTTCCCTAAAACTCTCTGTCTGACTTCTGAGTTACTCACATGGTGACACCACGGAATATGGCCTATACTACGAAGGCAATGGTGGTCAAACACCTGAAACCTCAGGGGACATCAGTTGCAGATGCGTCTTGCTGACGGGTGCTAACAACCATGAAACCTTGGTCGAGCAGGGTTTTCTACTTTTTGACTCCTGCTATCTAACATCAAACTATGGACTACAAGATCGGGATGTCACTGAAAGTCAGATTTTACCTCCAGGATCTGCAAACTTCCACATCATATGAAGAAGCTCTTGGATATCAAGTTTACGACGGACTGAGACAGTATAAACCCATTCGAACTTTACATATCATGGAAGACAAAGAGTAGAACTAACCGAAGCATTCAACTCAAAACCATACAGAATGGAAAGCATTTAAACTTCTGTCAAAAGGAACATTATTGCCAATTTTTCAGAAAGCAAGTCTTAAGAATAACTTTCCAAAGGGACGATACAACTGATAGAATTAAGAGAAGGATACAAAAAAAAACTGAAATGATCATGAGTAACCAAGCTTGTTACTTGCTCTTAGTATATCCCTCCATATGGTCTATTCAAGATTTCAAAGTAGAAAACTTCTTGAATCACACTCCGTTCGTGCGTCCATCAGTTCACTTTCACTTATGGAAACACATACCATAGATCAGCAGAGAAGCTAATATCTAAGAAACGTTCTCATCTTACTGCTTCAGATTGGAGACAGTTTATCAAGAACTAGGTATCCAGATAACTAATAATCTCACCTTTCTAAAACATATTAAATACATTTTTATTCCATTTCAGGTTTTGGAAAACCATGCACTTGGAAGACTATGATTTAACTCGTAATATTAAATAGGCGAAGGTTATCAAAATTGCATATTATTAATATTATTATTTGTCCCTTGGGTTCCTAATGGAACATAGGGCTTCACTAGCACGTCTCCATTCCACTCTCTTCTCTACAACCTTTTCAACCTGGCTCCACAACAGCCTACAAGCTCTCATTTCCTCCTCGCACGATCTCCTCCATATCACCCTCAACTCGGACACCCAACTCGTCGTTTCCCATCGGAATTCCGCTAGAGCAACTGGTTTGGCACATGATGTCCCCAGTCGGCATTCTCAGTGTATGCACAATACAATCCATCTCCACTTCCTTCCACTGCATATTTGTTGAGTGATAGCTTCCTGCTTCGTTGGTTCGTTGCCAGCCAGCCAGCCAGCCAGCCAGCCAGCCAGCCAGCCAGCCAGCCAGCCAGCCAGCCAGCCAGCCAGCCAGCCAGCCAGCCAGCCAGCCAGCCAGCCAGCCAGCCAGCCAGCCAGCCAGCCAGCCAGCCAGCCAGCCAGCCAGCCAGCCAGCCAGCCAGCCAGCCAGCCACCAGAGTTCCTTCTTGCTTATTCTTATTATTCTGGCAATTCATCTGATCTTCAGTAACGAGGCAGCTTAGGTGGCAGTTGCTCATGAATGTGTGTAGTTTGTTGGGAATCCCTTTCGTAACGCGCCAAGTCTCTCAAACATCACACAGAAGCACTGATTTGACTGACGTTGGTGTTGAAAATCTGTATGTTGTTCACACTTTATGCTGAGTGCAGTGCAGTGCAGTGCAGTGCAGTGCAGTAGATCTACACACTGGTTTCAGGTTAATCAACGCCTGTCTTGCTGGCTTTTCCGATCCTGGCTGGCTTTGACTTCCTCGTCAGTGTTGCCTGTGCCTCCACCTGCAGTTGAAACAGTGCTGCCTAGGTAAGTGAAAGAGGCTACTTCCTTTAAGTTTCTCCCGTTGGTGGTGATTAGTGTTTGTTGTTTTTTTTGTTGTTGGTTGGGTATCTTCATCACCTCCGTCTTATCTACACTACATTCACTTGAAGTTCCGTCTTCGCTGCCCTGCCCTGACTCTTCTGTCAACTTGTTAGTTTTCGCCTGTAGATCTTCGAGTTTGTGACACAAGACATTAGACACAGTTCATCGTCGGCGAAATCCAGATCTTCTAGGTTCTTTTCGCCGGTACAGCCAGCGTACCACCCTCTTCTCGCTCCCCACTGTTTGCTGCATGATCCAGTCTACCACAATCAGAAATATCCTGTCTTCACTTCAAAAGCATCACTGAGCTTCCTGTTGTGAGGCGAGGTTATCTTCTTATTAAAGAGAGGTGAATTTAATATTGATTTGATTAAAAATTCATCATAGAAAAAACTCTCCCCTTCCAGGTATTTTCCTGTTTCATATTCTATCTCAATTCTACACTTTTGATTAGAAGGTTAACTCAACAGTTGGTTAGAGAGAAATCTACGCATTTGTTATTATTTTCTTAATCAAAATGGTATTATCACTGAGTTTGTTGAATGACTAAACTTTATCGCCTTTCATGGAGGGTTAGGTGTGATATTGAAACTCCTAAACAAATTTAATTTTAGTATTGTTGCTTGTATTATACCGTCGAGGAGTGGACCGAATTGATCTGTCTCTATTGGCATATTGGCTGTTGTGAGGATGCCTTAATATTGCCCATGTTTTTAATTATATAGTGTTAATGGATAGTGGTTAGCAGTGGAATCCAGGATGGGCATTTCATCCTATTTAGCACCCGTCAGCTGAATGTGCCTGCCTTGTGGATTGGTGGTGTAGTGGATAACGCTCTGGCGTTTGAAGCGATCACTCAAAAGTCCAAATCTCTGTGGGGACAACACTCACTGGGAAGCAGGTACATCCAACTGACGAGTCCCAGATAGGGCGAAATGCACATCCTGGATTCCCCAACTAGCCACTATCCATCATTACTAAAACTTAATGCTGATTTAATTGTGAAGCAATATTCATCGACCGTAGCCAGAGAATGCTTTCTAAAAGTATACGACGACATGTTCCAGTTTGGTTTTATGAAGGTGAATGAAAATTGGTTAGAAGTTCTGTTCTAGAACATTTGATTGATTTCCACCACTCAATAAAACCAGACAATGACTTTAAAATTTTATCATATTAGCCAAAACGTCCCACTTTTATTTCGTTTTCAACTCCTTAAGACATTCAAGGCTTTAATTCCATATTAGATTTGTTTATTTGATTTATAACACACGCAATGATACAGTATTATTTCCTTGATGACGAAGTTTGAAGCATAAATAGTCACTGCTCATACTCATTATCAGTGTAATCACACTACTTTCAACATCTCATTTTTATATTCCTGTAAACTCTTGTTCTTTGTTTCTATCAGTAGTAAACTATTCCATATCCTGGTATAGAGGTTGACTCGATGAACAAGGATTCAGTAATCAGTCTCTCTCCACCTAACTGTATTGAACTTAAGTACAGTGACTTTATCCCACCCAGTTATGTGGTTATGTGTTAATGCATGCATTGTGATAGCCAAGTTTTACTCTATCATTCATCCTATTGCAGTTGATCACTATACATTTGGCTAAATTCTTATATTCCACTGGTCTAACTGATCCCGAACGTCTACTTTAACCTATGTATGTGATCTCACAGACTGAATTATTTTGATTAATTAGATCTATCGGATGCTTAAGACAAGTGATAAAGCTTATCTATGAGTGACTTTGTAGGTTTGAATGGCACCCTAATTCCAGCTTTGTTGAGGATCCTACATAAAGTTTCCTTCCTCATGGGATAATACAATGGAAGCCATGAACTCCATTCTACTTGTGTTGTCGTAATTATTCGTATTTGTGTTACTGTTATTTTGTCGTTTCTTTTGTGTTCGTACGAATTATTGAATAGACTGTGGAGGATAATTTTTAACTATTAGAACTTCTTTTACATTTTTCAATTTCTTGTTTAGGTCGTTGTCCTGACTATTTAGTTTTCTAGCTCAATCACTTAGACATTTGACTAAACCTGCCTTCCTTGACTGACATTAGGTAGGATGATGTGAAGTCTAGATACCTGTTGGAATGTGTTGGTTTTCTGTAGACCATAGTATCTAAGCCGCTGTCTGTCCTTCATTTTATTCTGCAATTCAACATAGGTAATTCTCCTCGTTAGTGAATTGGATTGGACCTACTGCTGAGTTATATGTGTGAAGAAATTGTGGATGCATTCTGAAAATTTTACTGGGAATAGAAACAAATTTGAAACAATTGGTCCCTTTAATAAATTTCGATAACGCTATTAGAAGACGAAGATTATCTGAAAAATGTGATGTATTTGCGCAATACATTTCGAACAATCTGATCACACATTTACTTGTCAAGTCAATTTATATATGAAAATTAAAGGTCAAATATAATGAATATGAAAAGGTTGTGACACTAGTCTTGGTAACATAATCAGATAAGGGTTACCAAGGTAAATTAAGTGAAACAACAAACTGTTTTTGTACACACAGCGGGGGATTAAGTTTACGAATGGCTAACGCTTCGGCAAACTTCAGTATACGCCCCTGATTATTCCTGTATATTATCTTAAACGCTGTTTTCGTATTAACCTTGTGATTCATTTCAATAATATGTTTTGCTATAGATGACGATGGATGTCTGTCACCTGCACTTATCAAAGTTTGTGTGTTAAACTGTTTTTCTAGCCATTTGGGGATGTGTTCACCCACCCTAGTCTGCATTGAACGATTACTCCTCCCGATGTATGTGTGCCCACACATACATGTAAATTGGTAAACGCAGTTGGATGTGATGTAATCATTTGTGCGAGGTTGAGGTTTGTGGTGAAGCAGGTGTTTTGTCGTCTCAACAATTATAAGCTGAGCTGCATAGTATGTTTTACTGATAACAGATTTTAATCTCTGCTTCAATATCATACTACTTGTTTCCCCTCTGTATGGTACTTTAAGAAATATGCTTTTCTTCGGGACCGAGGAAACTGTAGGCTTTGGGGTCAACTGCTTTTTACAATGGTTGACAAACTGTAATGGATAACCATTTTCCACTAGAGTGTCTGTCAGAAACTTATTCTCATCATCCATCGTATCAGATGTACAAATACGTTGGATTCTATTGAACAAGCATCTTACTAAGCCTCTCTTATATTTCATCGGACAAAAACTATGAAAATTCAAATACTGTCCTGTCCAAGTAGACTTCCTATATATTGATCGTTTTAAAGATCCATCTTCCCTCCGGCACAAGAGTATATCAAGAAATGCAAGTTGATGATCTTTTTCTTCCTCACATGTCAGACTGATATGATCTTGTACGGTATTAAGCCTTTTTAATAACCTCTTGGCATCCTCATCTGTGTCACATATTACAAGGATATCATCCACATACCTTCTATAAAGTGTGACATTGGTGATTAAATCTTGGGCCATTAGTTCAGTATGTGACATATATACGTCAGCTAATAACGGTCCTAATGGACTCCCCATGGCTACACCATCAATTTGCCGAAAGTGTTCACCTTCGAAAGTGAAATGAACCTTATCAGTACATAATAAAAGCAGTTCTTTCAAATAAGTTGAAGGAATAGGGAAAGAAGGATAATTCGAAGATATGTGGTCACAAAGAATATTAATTGTCTTCGTTAGAGGCACATTTGTAAACAGAGAGTTAACATCAAAAGAATACATTTTCTTATCTGATTATGTTACCAAGACTAGTGTCACAACCTTTTCATATTCACTGTATTTGACCTTTAATTTTCATATATAAATTGACTTGACAAGTAAATGTGTGAGGGATCAGATTGTTCGAAATGTATTGCGCAAATACATCACATTTTTCAGATAATCTTCG